GTTAGTAAAAGTAATGAAGTAGGAGTAACCACCTATGACATGAGTTGACATGAGACCACATACATCACTATGTATGAGTTCCAACATCTTAGTGGCTCTCTTTCTAGTTCTACTAAATGGAAAGTTGGTTAGTTTTTCACGAAGGCAAGACTCACAAATTGCATATGACTCATAGTTGAATGGATTTAGGTATCCATCCTTTAGTAACTTTTGAATCCTTCCCTCATAGTTGAATGGATCTAGGTATCCATCGATTGCGGACGTATTAGTTAACTACGTCGTAGTCCCTAGACGATACAAAGGAATCCAATCCTTTGGACCTATATATCATTAGTTACCATGTACCTATAGTTTCTAATTCATCTAATATCCGAGAGACCGTATACTGCGCATGGTGCTGTCAGACCCATATGATTTCTCCTCGAGTCTCGCTCTATTTAGATTCTCCCAGAGAATTCTTTCTCTCTCAATCCGAATAACCTTGGCTAAAGATTTGTCTGAACAAGAACACATTAGATATTCCTCTCATGATACTGAGAGTGGATGATTCTCTATCAACACTCAATAGCTCTCGTAAGGTTGACTACCACTCTCGATGACTAGTTACACTAGATTTGGAACTTTCAAATCTATAAGTCCGGTATCAAAGAGTGGAGTACTCATATAAGACATCCTTAGTATCTTAAGTCTAAAGACCAAGTATATCATTGGGATGATGTAATTCATGTCTAACAATGAGGTATCATTAACCATTGAACATTCTATGAGCGGATCAATCAGTAAACTCATTCTCTAATGAGCACATGCATTGTAGCCCTAGTGTCCCCACACGAGCAACTATGAGACCAATTGCCTCCATCATATGGACGAGTATATAGCACTCCGATTTTCTCGATGTCCTTTTCGAGTAACCTATGACCAGGATTATTTAGGGTCTACGTTTAAAGATGAATTGGTCTTAGTATCGTGATCTCATCACGATCCGATTCCTATTGTATTGATATATACATATCACAATATATTTATGAATCAAGCAATATAAAGTGAGAAAATATCATAATAATAATAAGCAAAAAAACTATGTGTCATATCACATGTGTCATTACTCATATGATTGACTTGTAGGGCATCTATGACTAGCAGATCCTCTATCTGACACTCAATAGCTTTCGTAAAATTGGCTGACACTCCCGATGACCAGTTGCACTAGATCTGAAACTTCTAAACTTATAAGTCCGATATCAAAGAGTGGAATACTCATACATCATTAGTGTCTCAAGTCTAAGGACCAAGTATACCATTGAGATGATGAAATCATTGTTTGACAATGAGGTATCATTAACTATATAACTTTCCGTAAGAGAATCAATCAATGAACTTATTCTCCAATGAGCACTCGTATAGTATTTCTAATATCGTTATATGAGTAGCTATGAGACTAACTGCCTCCGTTATAGTCAAACTTTGTCTCTTATTATTACATGAACTGTGTATTGAGATGAATATCGTAAAAAAAAAAAAAAAGCACAAATGTATATTTTAGGACATTGAATTTTATTATCCTACCTGTCTAACTAGTTTATTGGCTTGAGTTTGCAAAGGATATTTCTTAGGAGTTCCTAACATAATTTTATAGTATATGGATATCGAACCTGATAAAATTTTCATCCGAAGTCGGTTCTAAAAAAGTATCAGGATTCGATTCAATTTCAAGTCAAATAATAAAAACCTACTCTAACATATATATATATATATATATATATATATATATATATATATATATATATAATTTTCTCAAAATAATTGTTATAAAATAGTAAAATAGGATAATAGATCGAATGTGGGAGAGATGAGTGAAAAATGAACATAATAGTGTTTTAATCTAAAAATACTTCGATATTCTTGGAAAAAAAATTGTAAACAAAGTCCACCAAATCCCTCTGATCGGTGACGACCTGATTTCATCGACACTGACACATTGGATGTCCATTTAATGTGATGACTTCCACAAACTATACCCCGGACGCACGTATCTGTATGCCAATGGCGTCCTCGTATCATTATAGAGTGTTTGAAATGTATTAATGTTATTTGCTTTTTGAGCTGTGCGGTGGTGTATACATTGCTGGCATAAAACATGGACCAGCTAAACCAACTCGGCATGAGGGTCAAATCTATTACTATTTTTCCGTGGGTGTGCATGACAATTCATCGCACGTCTGCTCCAGTCAAAGAAATGTGTTCGCAAGCAACGTTTCCTACACCCGCCGCCTACGCAACCTGGCCGTCACAGCAGCGGTGGCACGAGATAAACTCCATCCTCTCTTTTGACCTCTCGATGTCTAGAGCTCGTGGCCGGGGCCCGGGCGCATCACATGATTTGACTTACAGGGCGCAGTGCTTGGGCCACAAGAAATTTTCTTCTTCTAGGTTTCCAATTCTTTTATTGGATGCTTCTTTGCGTTCACAACATTAGTCATCAGAATGAGAATTCTCTCGGACTCAGATTGATGGAGATCTCATGGAATTTTCGTGAATTGTGATGAGAAACAAGTTGCACAAAACCAAAAATGTATCTACTGCTAGGTAGAGAAGGATATTCACATTTACTTGTAACCTAATTTAATTCCATATGTATTGTAGAAAAGTGGCTTACTCCATATAACCAACCTCGCAAACCGTTGATGTGGTCGAGTATCCACAATACATATCACATCTACGTGAGTGCACATCAAACCGACAAGTCAGCGAGAGACTGACCGTTGATCTTGTGTTCGACGGTTCTGATCATTGCAGATGATTGGTATTCCTTTATATATATATATATATATATATATATATATATATATATATATATATCATTATATCACACCATCACGAAACCCCTACATAAATTATTAGATTTCGAACAATAAAAATGATAATACTAGTGATAACTATAGATATAATAATAATAATGATAATAATAATAATAAAACCGATGAAATCTGCTGGTGCAAGAAAACAGCCATAAGCCCTCGTGGAATTTACGCCATTTAAAATTCCTCCCCATCCTCCGACAAGGCTGTGCGATCTCCAAGGGATCAAATCACCGCGCGACCGACCCTGAGGAGTAGTGGACGGGCGAAGGCAGAGCCGGAGCTGCGAGGCGAAAAAGACGGCGAGTATTCCATCTCCTCGAAACCCCATCTCTCCTTGTTTCTTTGTTGGTCATCGGTCTTCCTGATTCTTGATTCCAAGATCGGCTTTACCGCTGGATCTTGGATCCATGCGTCACCTATTCTCCTCCATCCTTCTTGGATCCGGCATCCGCGCCATGGTTCTGAAGGATGAATCGGGTCTTGGAACATGGACATGCTTTTGGGGTGGGTTCTTGCGGTGGTAATCGCGCTGGAAATAGCTGGTGATAGGGGGTTCTTGGCTTTGAAATGGCATGCTTTTGCAGTGCGTCTTGGCTTTGGGAGGGGTTGGGTGCCGAGTTTTTCTTGCCGGGAGTTTAAAGTGTGCGCGACTTTTGGTGTTCTTTGTAATGATTACCGTGAAAAAGTTAGATTCATTGTCTAGGCTGGTTACGTCCTGATCTTGTGGGGCTGGAGAATCGATTCGTGATGGGAAATATAAACAAAGGGGAAAGGGAAGAGAAAATAAATAGTTAGGTTGATTCCTGCTATTATAGGCATATTAATAGTTCATCTGTGTTGACTGTGACACGAATCGGTTATTGACTGTGACACGAATCGGTTATTGCTGGTAAAGATTCCTTGTGCTCAATGGCATCTTCATATTAAGAAGATTAGGAAGATATGATACTTGTCTATGAAATCAAATGCAGAGGATGAGTTATATGATGTTTCAGAAGTACTGTTGTTGCTTGCTTGATGTTGCAAACTTTATTTGGGCAGCAACATGATGGTTCACTAGGTTGGCAGGGGATTCAAGCTGTAATTTAAAAAATAAAAAACATGCCAACGAAGTATTTGTATTTTTTAGGATTTTGCCAAGTCATTCCAGTTTTCCTTGTAAAATCATAAAAGGAAACAGAAACTTGTAGTATGACAATGAATGCAGAAATAGTTGCAAGTAATTTAAGTAGCTTAAGAGGTATCTTGTCGAATCCAACAACTTCCTCTGAACTTAGTTTTGAAATGTATAAGGAACCACCTCCAAGATTGTTATGTATTTTGGAGACATCAGGACCTAAGCACTGTTAATCGTGGCACGTCTTTCCTAAAGTTGCCATAATGGTTGAAAATTTGAACACTAAAATATGTTTGCATGGAGAATTCAATCCATAAGTTTAACCCGGGCTTTGGAATACTAAGGTGGAATATGTATGTTAATGTCTTAGTGATATGCTGATGATAGTGGAATGCATCATCTATAAATGTTTATGATGCAAGCACTGGATTTTTTTATCTTTGTTTCGATATTAGTAATTCTGATAATTCTAGATTTTTAAAATTATTAGAAAAAAAAATATTGCATCCAACGACACTGTTAGATGGTAACATTAGTAGGAAGCCTGTCAAACATAACCTATTGACAGTTGACTGAACCTGCTTATATTATTTTTCTTTGTTATATTTTGGGTTTTCATAGGTGACCTATTGCTATGAAATGTCTGACAAAATAGTTTGCCTGATTTTCCTAGAAGTTGCTTTTTCCTAGAATCACCAGTTTGTAGTAGTTTCAGTTTAGAAGAACAAATTCTATTTTCCAATTTGACAACTCCACCTTTAAGCCATTGTCTTAGTCAGAGTGGTAAACACACACATATATTCATGGTAAATGCAGTTCTTTCAGCTTGATGGAGTTTCTACTTTTGAAATTATCTAGAAAATTGGGAATGAAAATGCATGTCCTACAAGTCATTTAATATCAGCCATGTTGCATCAGCATGGCTGCTGAATCTGAGACACCCTTTACTTTGGTTGTTGTTTGGGTTCTTTGAAGTTTGATCTTTTTTTTTCGTATCTAATATATATTTATAATCTTTTTCAGGATCCAAGGTTTCCTTTGGGCTGCAAATTTGGCAATTCTGCAGATGATCTACTTCGTTGGCCTTCTCTTGTGTGTCCCTTTTAGAATTTGATTTTTCTTTTGACCATTGTGTATCGAGACATTTTTATCTGAAACATATTCCTTGTTGTACATTTGTATATATTGTGACAATCTAGTGGTATATTATATATCCATTTCTCAACTTTGTTGGTGCTATAATCTCTTGCATGTGAGTATATATATATTATCTTTGACTTGCATAATTTCTGACTGGAACTGTTACAGCATTTGATGGAACTCGTAGATGTGATTTGATTTTACGTGGAAAGGAGAACCAACTTACACCGTTAACCTTGGACTCTTGATCATCTGAAAACTTGGAAATTTTGCTTGTTTTCCATCCATGGAGAGCTTGGCGCAGCTGGAAACCTTATGTGAAACTCTGTACACTTCCCAGAATTCAGCTGAACGAGCACATGCAGAGAGCACCCTTAAATGCTTTTCTCTGAATCCAGACTACATTCCACAGTGCCAGTACATTTTGGACAATGCATCGACTCCTTACGCTTTGGTGTTGGCTAGTTCCAGCTTGTTGAAGCAAATAACGGAACATAAACTGTCTTTGCAGATGCGGCTTGATATCCGTAATGTTCCTTTCTAGTTATATACATTAATTGGTATACACATTTTGTTCTTTATGAGCAGAGGGGATATATTTTTTTTCTTTATAATTTTCTTGCCATAATATTCCATGCCCAATTTATTTCTTTCTTTTTTGGTCTTCTAACTAGGAGCATATATGTGACTTTTTTGACATTATAAATATAAATGGCTGCTAAAGCAGGTTGTGAAGCTTTGGAAATTAACCTTATTGTTGCTTTAACTTCTGCATAGTACTGTACCATCGAATTGGAATATTATTTCATTTTTTGTTTGCAATTTACTGTACGGATATAATGCCTAAAATTTATCGTTTTGCTTAGTCTTTCCATTATGTTCTTGGCTTATTTTTCTGTAGTCTGAGCATAATGTGGTCTGAAATTTTAGTCTTAAAAAGCTTTCTTTTGCTTTTTGTTATATCTTGATAGTCTTGTCTTGCAATTAACGTATTTGTTTGACTTATCTTGCAATGTTCTAAATTGGCATGCAATCTCTTTGAAGGAAATTATGTGATAAATTACCTTGCTACCAGAGGACCTGAATTGGAGAACTTTGTAATTGGATCTTTAATTCAACTTTTATGTCGAGTGACGAAATTTGGATGGTTTGATGATGATAAATTCAGGGAAGTTGTAAAGGAAGCGACAAACTTCTTGAATCAGGTAACTAATGCTTTCTTAGATCTTAAGTTTATTCTCATATATTCTCAGAACTTTGTTAAAGCTACGGACCATGCCTGCGGTAAGGATAGATGTCACTAGCATTTTAAGTATTTACTCTTGGATGTGCTATTGGGACCAAAATAATGTTTCTCTCTTCTCTCTATAGTCTATATATATATATATATATATATATATATATATATATATATATATATATATATATATATATATA